AGTGTGATGATTGAGAACAGAAAAATAGGCTTTAGGGACAGTGTCTCTGGGTGTCAATATTGCATTGCCCTTATTATTTATGTGCTATGAGAAACTGCTTAACATTTGGGTCTTACTTTCCTTAAATATCTATATCTACATCTAGGAAGGAATTCTATCTGCCTCTCAGAGCTAGTCAAGATTAATAATTAATGTCATCTATTCCAGAGGAAACTAAAGTTATAAATTATTCCATATTTAAAATATTGGTGTACCTGAGGACTGGAGAGATGGCTCATTGTTTTGGAGCACTTTCTGTTCTTCCTAAGGATCATGGTAAGGCTTCCAGCATCTACATGGTGGCTAACAAAAATCTATAACTCCAGTTCTATGGGATTTTATGTCATGTTCTGACTTCCTCAGGCATTATACACATGTGGCATGTTTACATGCATACAGGCAAAACACTTATAAACATAAAATAAAATGGATAAAATAGTTTTAAAACAGAGTATTCGGTTTTTACTCTTGGACTAGGATACAGTCATGTTACAAAAAGATGCTAAGATGTTGACAATTTTATATCTACAAGGAATGACCAAGTTTTTTTTTTCAAAAAGGTGGCTAAAGGTATAGGTCAGTGGTTAAGAGCACTGACTGCTCTTGTAGAGGACCTGGCTTCGATTCCCAATACCCACATGATGGTTAACAACTGTCCATAACTCCAGCTCCAGGGGACCTGATGCCCTCTTCTGACATCCTTGGGCAATGCATAACACAGGTGCACTTACTTACATGCAGACAATACACTCATACACAAAAAACAAAATAAATAAAAAATTTTTAAAAAGACAACATGTATAAGCTTGAGTACCATGCCTAGGCCCTTCAGTCTCAATAAATAGAAGTCACTTTGCACAAGTACAAGCACACTGAATGTGTGATAGCTGCTGTATCGTCATTCTTTCCTGTCCTGATCTTTCTTATATGTGATGGAAGGTATTGTTATTATTATTATTATCATTGTTATTATTCTGCTAGACAGCTGGGCATAACATTTTCAGAAAAGGAGAACAGCTATGGACATAGCTAAGATTTATTTAATAGAAAGAAAAAGAAAGAGCTGGTCAATGAGTTTGTGACAGGCTGAAATTGAGAAAGAAAAGCATAGGAAAAGTGAGGAAATCATTGTAGTCAAGATGACAATCATTAAAAAGTATATGAGTCTTGTAGCAATATGTATGTGACCAAACAGGATTTGATCATAAATACAAGATGTATCAGTCACATGTCTTAATACCGTATTGGTCACTGGCATATTTCTGCTTCTGTGAGGTAAAATGCTAAGATGAAAATATGATGATATTTCTGACATATTGCTTCAATTTTTGGATATTAGATATTTTCTTTTTTGACGTAATAGTGGTAAGTAGTTGATAGAGCTTTTAAGGTCTTTACTAGTCAAAATAAAAACTTGGCAAATTTGTCTGCTCCTCTCATTCAGTAATGTTTATTTCAAAATCCCAAAGCTAGAAATCAACGAATCAGTTAATTTTCCAATTTTCTTATAGTTTTGATAACCTAGTCTTCTAGAGATTATTTAGTAGGCACCAAGCATAGTGTTTCCAAGGAGACATTGTGATGATTAGTTTTAATCATCAACTCGATATAATTTAGAATCTCCTAGAAGAAAGTCTCAGTGAGGGTCTAGTAGATCATGCTGGCCCGTGGGCTTGTCTGTGAGGGATTGTCTTGATATGTTAACTGATGTGAGAAAACCCAGCCTAGAAGTGAGTGGCAACATTCCCTGGGTTTGGGTCCTGAATTGTCTGAGAATAAAGAACACAATCAGAGCAGTTAGCATGCATGCATTCCTTCTCCTTCTGCTCTTGACTGTGGATGGGAGTAGAATGTGACTAGCTGTTTTAAGTTCCTGCTTCTGCCACCTTGACTCCCCTGCTGTGATGGACTGCAACTTGGTGTTGTGAGCTAAAATTAACCTTTTCTCCCCTAAATTGCTTTTTGTTAGGGTATTTTATCATAGCCACAGAAATGAAAGTAGGACAGAAATTGATGCAGTAGTTCCTAATATAATTCATATCCAGTAGGAAATTTTAATCTAAAATAGAAATGATATGCAGATTGTCACCCAGCACAGAGAAACTAGGCTAGAAACATCAATATAATATCTAGATTAATAAAGTTATTTATAGCCTGTGATTTAAGGGTAAATGAGAGGAAAGGCAAAACCATGATGGGAAGGTCATATAGAAAGAGTAACCTGGAGGTCTGTACCAAAAGTTCCCAAATCAGATCATCTTGGAGTTACCCGAGGCTATCTGGAACTCTTTAAAATGTTACCAAATTGATTTCTTTTCCCTGATGCCCTGAGGCTGGATGTAACTATAGAATTTCAATGAGGAGACGAGAGATGGTTTTCATCAGCAATTAAGAGTAAGCACTTTGTTTTGTTGGTTTTGATTTTTACTTCTACATACAGGTTTTGATGTAAACATTAAACATTAAATACTGGCTAAAGAAACCAGGCCACCAAAGTATTACAGAGGAGTTTTCAGTAAAATTGTGAAAATTCACAACTCAGCAGATTCTCAATATACTCAAGTTCATCTTTAGTTGAATAATTGTATTTGAAAGAAACATTAGACATCTAGCGGGTAAATTTTATTTTATTCAAATGATCTCCTAGTGGTCTTAACTAATGGGTCTTCTAATGTACATTTACTTAAAGCAAAGGAGTGCTTTGATCTTTGGGAAATTTGTTAAAAATGTATAATTTATTTTAATTCTCAATATAGCAAACGAACTAATGGCATTGCAAAATAAGTACTTCCCGAAGGAGATGCCAGGAATACTAGGAGAACAAATCAGTGAGCAGATACCCAAAATATAACTTACTGTGACAAAAATATTTATTTTTTCAAATTCTTCTTGATAACAGTGTATGGTTTCAGTGTGTTGAGCATGATTTGATTTACTATTACTGTATGTCCCAGATATTTCTTGAGTGCTCACTGTGTGGATCTGGGGATACAGAAATAAAAATCTTTGATCACCAGGCTGTCACTATTCCAGGAGGTGTTCAGTATCCTTTAAAAAAACTATAAATAGTTTTCCCTGGAACTTACGCCTTCCTTACCCCAAAGCCAGGCACATACTCATATTTTAAAGACCTGGATGTATGAGGAATTTTCAGGAACTGAAGGAATCAGGTGTTAAGACTAGAGCCAGTATGTAATTCATGTTACTTTATTTTAGAAACCTTCTCTGAATGCTCTGACTTGGAGTTTCTCCTTTAGCTTCATTTCCTGCAGGCATGCTTTTGGAAGGTCTTCATAGCACTTCTGCATCTAATGCAGCATAACCCCTGCATTTTCTGGTTGCTTATACTGGTGGAGGATCCTCAGGGAATGGCAACTGAGGGTTAGTTAAGTCCTTTCCAGATTTGTTAATCCTACCTGGCTGAAGGAAGGGGAGACATGTTGCTATGAGTGTTTGCTGAGCTCTGATACTGCCCGCTGTGCATCCACCCTTATGGGAGAAAACTATGCTCTGCATGTAAGTGTTGTTTGCTTGTTTTCTGAGACAGAGTCTCCTGGTAGCCACAGCTGGCCTGGAACTGAGTATGTAGACCAGGCTGGCCTTGATCTCACAGAGATCTGCCTGCCTCTGCCTCCTGAGTGCTGAGATTAAAGGTGCTGTTTTACACCCAGAATGTCCCAGGATGCTCCTGTGTACTCATTCTGCATAAAGTAGCTCCCTTCATCTGCCAACAAGAGGGCTTTTTATGTTCCAGAAAGAGGCTGAAGGTGGGACACAAGAGTGTGACTGCTTCAGATTGTGCCTGGATATCTCTATCTCTCTCTCTCTCTCTCTCTCTCTCTCTCTCTCTCTCTCTCTCTCTCTCTCTCGGGACCCAGAATGCAATCTGCAGCCTTCCTGTGGGAATTCCAAGAGTAGAGGTTTGTGGTGCATTGGGCGGCTGTGGCTGTGCAGTCCCCCTCTGATTTTGACCAGGGGCAGAGTTGGAAACCTCTATAGGGTCTTTCTGCTCCTTTCTGCACCAAGGGCTGTCCTCAAGGAGAGGGTGGAAGGACTTCTTTGCTTGTGTAGTGTAATACAGTGGACAAAGAGTGGCTCAAATCTAGGCAGAATTGCCTAGCCTCTCCAGGCGCAGTCCAAGTCGCTTGACTTGGCCGAAACCAACAGATATGAAAAGCTCAAAAACCCTTATCCATAGGCTGCAGAAAGTGCCTAGCAGAGCCATGGCTCATATGGATCCTTTTTGACCCTCTTGACAAGGAAGCTCTTTGACCTGGATGGCTCTGTTTTCTTCTGGGTCTATTTGAGAGAGTCCATGTTTCTTCCTGGCTGCCCTGCTCTGGCTCTGAGGTCCGGGCTCCTAGGCACGCACCGAGTCTCTGTTGCTCTGTGTGCCTCGGCAAGAATTACAGTCCCCGCCACAAGACCCTTTGCAAACTCAACCACCTTTTTGCTGGTTCAACTCAAACGAAGGTCCCCGAGTGGAGTGGACCATATGTCAGACGCAGTCAGGACAGACAGACGCTCAGGCGCAGCGCAGTCTGGGTGTAAGCTTGAAGCGCCCTCCCCGGAGCCTCCCGAAGTGGGAAGGGGTGGGAAAGAGAAAACAAGACGTCAGTCCTTACCCAAGACGGTACCACAATACTGTTGGAATCCTACCGGCCGCTTCCTGACCCTAGAGGGTTAAATCAGGAGGGCACAACGGCCACCCCTTCCCCCTACTTCCCGCCTCCCCCCACCCTTTACCTTTAAAAAGTTAAAAAAATGTCTGCAGTCAAATCTCTTAAAGGGGCGGTGCTGGTGAACAGTACTCTTGGCACGAGTTGCTGAGAAGGCTGGCTAGGGGCGTGAGTTCGCTCCACCAGCACCAAAACACTGAAAAAAAATGCGAGCGAGCGAGAGGGAGCGAGCAAGAGAGAGCGAAAGAGAATAGGGGGGGAGGGGAAAGGAGGCAGATAGACACACACTTTAGATAAGGACAATTAGTCACCATCGAGACCCAGCAGGGAGAGAAGTTTAAATCAGAGGGATTTAATGAGGGTGCTCGGTGCCTTCCCTGAAGCCATGTCCTCCAGCAACTCCCGCCCCCTGTCGTGCCTAGTCCCGGTGGCTCTCTCCTTTGCTCTGTTGCTCCATCTCTCCTTTTCCTCCCAAGCTGGAGACAGGAGGCCCTTGCCTGTAGACAGAGCTACAGGTTTGAAGGAAAAGACTCTGATTCTACTTGATGTGAGCACCAAGAACCCAGTCAGGACAGTCAGTGAGAACTTCCTCTCTCTGCAGCTGGATCCCTCCATCATTCATGATGGCTGGCTCGATTTCTTAAGGTAAGGCAGGGGCTTCCATGGATCATTTAAAAAAATTTAAGTACCCCACCCCCATTCTCTTCCTATCCCCTGCTCCAAAGGGGGGAAGAAGAAGAAGAAGAAGAAGAAGAAGAAGAAGAAGAAGAAGAAGAAGAAGAAGAAGAAGAAGAAGAAGAAGAAGAAGAGGAGGAGCAGCAGCAGCAGCAGCAGCAGCAAGAGGGAGCAGATCTCTCTCTCAAAGAGAGAAAAGGAGGCTTTTCCCTCCTGGAATATTTGCTGTGAGGCTGTAACTAGTGATTGAGAAAAGCAATGTTTTCTATTAAGATGCACATGTTTGCAATGCAGAAGGCATTTCAGAAACTTATCAGTTATGACTGAAAAAATGTTGTGCTTACATATATCCACAATTAGCCTCCCCTTCTGAAAAAGAAACAAGAGGTTCAGGGAAGTTACAAAAGTGAAGATCTGGAGCAACAAAGACGCTAGAGCAGTGTGTCTGTGCGTGTGTGCATGTGTGCATGTGTGTGCCTGTGCAGCCAGGGATTTCGTGAAAGTGGAATTTGCCACGGAAAGACCGTTTCATCAGCACTCTCTCACTCCCAGACAGAAAACGAATTTAAGGAGAGGCTTGAGAGGTGGGCATGTTGGATTGGAGTTAAAAAATTTTAATTTTATATCTTCCGCTGTCATCTCCAGACTTGACGTTGTAAGACGCTTTGTATGGATGGAGCCCCCCCTCCCGGCCCCCAGCCCCCCTCCTTGAATCCTGCTTGGTAACTGCATAGTTTAGTTTTTCTTGACTGGGGATCCTGATTTGGGTCTTACTGTACGTAGGCGAGCCATAAGGGTCCTAGAAAGCTCAGGGGGAAGTTTTGGAGGTTTTGAACCCGGCACTAGCGGATTAGCAGACCCTGAGGTTGAGATTCCCTTGGAATCTAATTGGGTTCACTGTAAAACTGAATTAGCGTTCTAAGTTTTTGAAAATAACCTCCAAGTTGGAGCCAGAGCTGTGGGCTCTCTCTAAGAGCCTTGAGTGTGCTGTCCGTCCGACTCCTGCCCCGAGGCCGCGTCCGAAGCACACCTTTAGTGAGCATTTTTCACTCTTGTGGAAATTCGAGTTTTGCTTTTCCGGTTGCACCCGCCCCTCGGCTCTCAGCGTCTCTTCCTGACCTCCGCAGATCTGCAGACGCGCAGGTAGCTAGCTGCAGGCGCTGCTCAGAGCGCGTCTTCCTCGTCGGGGCTGCGGAGCCTGAAGATCCAGCGTTTGTCGCCGCGGGAGCTGAGGCCGTTTCGGTTCCAGCGGGTGCATTTGCTGGGAGGGCGGGAACGGTGCTGCACTACCGGGCTTCCTCCTTGAAAGCTTTTCTGTGCAGCAGAACGCGTCTCAGAGTTCGTCCAAAAGTGGGGTGCAACAGAGGTTTCCTAAATGCACGCTCCACTGGCGTTGCTCTGTTCCAGCTGCGCGGACTCCTCCGGGTTTCTCCTTCCTCCTCCTCCTCCTCTTCCTCCTCCTCCTCTTTTTTTTTTTTTTTTTTTTTTTTTTTTAAATGTCAGCTTGTTTGCGCTAAATGCCTGCTGCAGAAAAAAAATTCTGGAAGGCAGCTTTTCGGGGAAGAAGCCTTAGCGGGGCGCTTTTGCATTGGTTGTGCAGGCTTCTGGATGGAAGGTTGTTGCAAATACCTCTCGGGGCCGGACTCGTGCGGACTTCTCTGAGCTCAGCCGGCCCATGCGAAGCCTTAACTGCGTCGGCCCTGGAACTCGATCCTGAAGTCCTCCGCCAAACCTGCCGGCCGTCGGAACTCTCAGGGTAGACTCATCTCTTCCCCAAAACTCTCCAAAAGCGGAGTCTCCTTTTATTTGTCGTTTGAAGCCACCCCCTTTAAGATGCTCTTTAACGTCTCCATTTTGACTTGGATGCTCAGAACCTCAACCAACAAAGCGTTAAAAATAATTTACAGATCCGGAACTCAACAGCTGATTTCCTCAGCATTAACAGCATCCGCAAGACTTGGTCCCCACTGCTTCCCAGAGTAGCAGCCTTTGGCTTTTTTAAAAAGTACCAATAATAGAAATAGTGAACTTGAATAGCTGTAAACATTATTGTTCTGCTGCTCAATTTTTTCCCGAAGTGCAAATCCCCCATTTCGCCAAACTTCTTGTTTTACCCAGCGCTAGCAAACCACCCCAAGTGGGAAGGAGAAAAGAAAGATAAAGACCCAGAACTGGGGCAGCGGTTGGGGATGGGGTGGGGTGAGGAGGATGTTATCTTTCTGGAGATCAGGCTGAATTATTTCAAGGGCCTAAGAGACGTAGCTTTTACTGTATTTTTGGGGGGGAGGGCGTCCTCAGAAAGGCAAGGGTTTATGATGGGAATATCTCCACCTAGAGATTTTGGGAGCAAATCAGTTATAATAGGAAAGGAAAATCGATTTTGGCATTTTTTTTTTTTTTAAAGGCATCCTCTTGACCCCTGGCGCTGCTCCTGGTCTTAGGGAAAGAAGGCCAAGTTCCACTTTCTGGGAGGTTGTGATGCCCCTGGGGCCAGGGAGGCAGCGGATTTGCCGTCTGGAAGTTTGGCAAGAGGCAGAGACAGGCAGTCAGCTCCTAGCGCGTCTGTGCCAGGAGCGCTTTCCTGGTAGTGGCAGAAACCAGTCAATTGCGCCTTGGTCCCAAGTTTACAGCACAAGTGACCCCCCACCCCCAACACACCAAACAACCATATCTCTAACCCTTTGGAAACCAGTACTTGGGCATCCAGGTGTCTGTGGGAGGGGATCTTGCGGGCGGCTGGGTGCAGGAAAAGCAGCCCTAGGGAATCCAGCGGCAGAGGGTAAATCCTGCTGGGAAGCCGGGGAAACTCCAGACGCCACAGAGCTACCGGCGGCCGGCTCGGACTGCAGGCTGGAGTGGGCACAGATAATAAATCCCCGGCCAAGTCTGCAGGGAGTGAGAAGAGGGCCTTGCTCCCTGCCCTATGCGCTCTAGCCTTCTCCCGGGATCCTTTCCTCTCTCTTTCTCTACCCCTGCAGCTCCAAGCGTCTGGTGACCCTGGCCCGGGGACTTTCGCCCGCTTTTCTGCGCTTCGGGGGCAAAAGGACAGATTTCCTGCAGTTCCAGAACCTGAGAAATCCTGCGAAAAGCCGCGGGGGCCCGGGCCCGGATTATTATCTCAAAAACTATGAGGATGGTGAGAAATTTGGTCCCAATTTTGAGTGTTACTAGGGTAGGAGGAGGGGTGGGAGCCAGCACTGGGAGTGTGTGTGTGTGTGTGTGTGTGTGTGTGTGTGTGTGTGTGTAGTTGAAGCAGTATATGAAGTTCCCCTGAAAAACTGGAAGCTGCAGGTGAAGGTTCCCTGGGAGGTGGGTCTCCATTGGGAGCCTGGGAGTCCATTGGGAGCGTGGGTCTCCTGAGGTGGTTGTGCCAAGGGTGCCAGGCTGTCTTCCTTAAGGCTGCCTGCTTTTTTTGCTGGGCAGCAGAGTTGTCAGGTCCTGGAACTGATAGATCAACATTTGGGTAGGCTAGTCCTGAGGCTTTCTTGAGAAAATTCAGCCAAGGTTCACAGATTACTGAAGAGCCGGTCACATTTCATTCCTAAAATTCTAGGCGCAGGTGTCTTTTATTTGTCCTATTTCTTGTCTTCCTGGAGTGGGAGACAGAAATTTAACCTTTTTGGAAGCCCACTCTAAAATTTGTTGGAATAACTCCTTTTACATTGGTCCCTTTTTGAGGAGGGTTTGAAAATCTCTGCAGTGAGTTCTCCCTTCAACTGCCCAATCTCCCTTCAACTGCCTGAGTATTTTTCCTCAGTTTAAAAATGGCATTGCAAATGTCAGCCTTCTTTCCTGCCGGTCAGATGAGTTAGGTCTTGCAAGGGCATTGAAAACTCCAAATTCTATTCCAGTGTGAGAGGTCAATCATTTTAAGTTTGTACAATCTCATTTTTGCTAGGAAAAAATGACATTTAAAAGCTTTCTATAAAGGTTTGGTGTTAATATCTGTGAACTTTCCTGTGTGACCAGAGAGCTATAGTTCTTTCAGTGGTAGGTGGAGTTGCTGTTCAAGTTGGTAGAAGATGCATCAGCGTCCATTCTTGCAGGGCTGCCTTTCTCCTGCTGTTCCTTCTTACTGTTTTATTTTTTAAAGGACTCCAGACAGTTTTTCAGACTCCTAGGGCTTTTGTTCTTAGAAATCAACAAAAGAAGGAAATATCCTTGTGTTTTCTGGAATTTCATTGAATGGGACTTCTGGAGAGGTGTCTATTGGGATCTATTTCAAGGGTAGCTGAGGAACATGCCTGAATATACAGAGGGCAAGATCACAGCTTCTTCAGTTAGAAGTCTTGCTAGGACTTACTCTTTTATAACATTTGTCAAAGAGAAAAGAAGGTGTTTAAGGATCCATCTTTTCAAAGGCAAAAGTTATTGCTGTAAAATGTGGATTTCAAGTAGATTCTGTTGTCATTCAGCATAAAACACTGAAAGGTAAAAGAGTATCCTGAACAGCAGCTCTGATAGTAATTTGATCCAGGGTCTTATAGCTCCCAGGGTCGCTGTCAGCTCTGTGATCAGACAGAAGAAGGGATATATTAATGGTTTTCCTGATGAGACAGTTTTTCTTCAAATCTATTTTAACTACTTCCTCTTTAGTTTGTGGAAAAACTTATAAGAACTCCAGGAATTGCTGAAAAAAAGGACAGTATGATTTTTAGAAATTGGCTCTTTTCTTCAAACTTTGCATTTAAGATTCTATTGTCAATTCACTGAGAACAATGAATTCTGCTTAAAGTGACCGATACAATTTATTTCCTTTTGTAAAAGGAGAAAGTGGGAATTATGGGGGGCAGGGAAGAAATTGGTGGAAGGCTGTTCTTTGTGAGACATCACAAAATTAAAAAAGAACAAACAACAAACAAACAAAAAACCCAGCTCAACAACCAGGAATAGAAAACGTTTAAGAGGTCATGTCAGTCCTTCCAGTACCCCAGAGTCAGTACAAGGTCACTCCCCCCCACGAACTCTTCCCCCACCCAGCCTGGTGCATCTACCAGGACTATAGTTTTCACCGCTCTTTGGAGAGAGAGTTTTTCTGTCTTATTTTTGTTTGCAAATTTCTCCTGAATTTTCTTCTTCTAAATAGTCTTTAAATATTTGTAGTGATACTTCTGTCTTTGGTGTGGCTATTAGCTTTACAAATAAAAGCTCCCCCTTAGCTGATTTTTTTTTTTTTAAAGAAAGCTAGACTACCTGGATTTAATTCTTTTAAAACTTTCTTTAAAGTCAGCCCTTCCAGACACTAATCTGTTTTATTGCTCCTAGCTGAACTCCTTTTGATTTATGTCTCCTTGGTAATAGGGTGCTCTGAACTACAGCAGTATTCAAGGCCCCACCAGAGTAGAAAAGCTCTGTTTTTGCCCTTTGATACTCACATATTCTTAAATCATCCATATCGTCTTCATTGTTAAACATTGCATTGCAGAATTTAAGGCAAGAATGTTTTTAGTATAATAACAATTTTGCTAACATATTTGCTTATCACTTTAAAGCCAATGATAACTGGTCATATGAACATCTTAAATACTTAGGACCTTTTAGTAAAGGGCCCTGCAATGAGCACTTGACCATCAAGGCACCTTAGTAAAAATATATTTACTTAAACATAATGTTGATTAGTAATGTATGTTTTGGGTGATAATATACCCAGGAAGACATCATGAGTCCCGACGATATAGTAAAGAAAATATGGAAATTGGACTTAAAAAGCTCATACTGCAGGCCCGGTTCTCTCACTTATGAATGTGTGGCCTGGGCTTACTGCTTCTCTGCAACATGTGGATGATGATAGTACCTGATGTGTATTGCTTCTGGGAGGATCACAAGATGTAATGTCTGTCAAATGTTTATTGATGGCAAAGCACTGTGAGCAGGCTAAGGCACTGATATTTAATGTTGTAAATGGGAATAAGCAATGATCAAGGAATGAAGTTAATGCAGAAGGGGATTGATTTAAAGAATCATTTGGGAGGATTTAGAGAATATAGGGACACTTTAAGATGAGATGAGATGCTAATGCAGGTTTTTTTTGTGTGGTAATTAGAGAAGAGAAGAGATTAATCTTTAGCTTTATGATATGCTAATTTTAGGATGAACTATAGTTCCAGCTTGGGAAAAGTTCACAGTTTTCTGGTTAATTCATTTATATTACTACTCTGATGTGATTTTTTAAATGTGTGTTTTCTCCTGAACTAATAATGCAATTAATAACTCACATGGCTTCCATTTTCCAAATAGTTTATGAGCACATCTGGGCAGTTGCATCTTGTCTAACTTTGTAAAGCCGCTGTTTTGTATCACTTTGGTACAATCACTACTTCACTCTGTGGTGGGGCAGTTAGAATCCCACATAAACATGGTAACACCGGGTAATTCTTTATACTCTACAGGTCTCACCTTAGCCCAACTTTCTCTCTGCTCTGTGTGATGTTGTGTTTTACCTGTTGCCAATAAAGAAATCTTAGGCTCATCTTTTGTTCTTAAGTTTGTTTTATTTTAATCTGCCCCCTTTAGTTATATATTCAGTGCACCTTATCTGTATGTCCGTCTCTGTATGGCTGCAACCATATCTGTAATGAGGATGTGCACCATTTATTATGCATTTTAAAAACTAACTTAATGTGTTTAAAATTTCATGCTTACATTACCTTTTTGCTAAGAAACCTTGATTATTTTTGGATTACTTGTAAAAAAGCTTTCAAACTCTTTAGCACAGTGTTTAAAGCCGTTCACATGCAGTGTCAGCTCTTCCTAGTCTATGTTTAAGTGTACCTTTTAATATAGCCTCTCTTGATTAGTCAACATCTCCCTGAAGTACCTTCCTTACCCCATCTGCACACCTTTGTTTATCCAGTATATTTCTGCTTGTCTTTCTCTTGGCTCTGCTCAAATCTCGCCCACCCTACCTGATTCTTAAAGGCCTAGTACAGTGTTCTTTATTCATGAAGTCTTTCTTGAACAGGACATTGCAAGTGATCTTTCTTATTCTGGAAGGCGTGCTTCTATTATTTATGCTTTTCTTTTGGCCCTTTCTACCTAGTATTGACACACAACTTCCCTTACGTATCTTTGGTTTACCTTTCTGACTAAAATACAAACTATGGGAAAATTTTATGGCTGAGAATTCTATAAATGACACATGGTAGGTTTTCAATAAATATTCCTGGCTCCATAGAGATTTAATAGCACTGGGAAAAGCCCTGGGAAAATGGACATGAGCAATGAAGCAACGAGTGAGGCTGTAGAAAGATTCTTTTTTGTCTTCACTGCGTGTTGCCATGAAGTCCATTCTTAATGCTATTTAAATGATGTTTTTTCATTATTTCAGCCCTGTATTTTTTATCTTTGTTTATCAAAGTTGCCGTGGTTTCAGGCTATGCATTAAGTCAACTTTACCATTCAGTTTAAAGCTTTGCATTGGGATGATAGTAAATTTTATTGACCCTCCCTCCCTCCCTCCCTCCCTCCCTCTCTTATATAGTTCCCATGTCTGATTTGCCAGTTCCTGATGTATATGGCTTTTTCACATTTTCAAATACTTTTAATTTTCATTTCTTGAAGTTGCTTCAGAGAGCTTCGGTAATTTTAAACAATAAATTTGAGGATACTTTGTTAAACTCTAAGCCTTGACACAAATATTATTATTGTTTTATTTTCTCCAGGAAGTCTTTCTGGTTTTCAGGGAGGTGAGGTAGTTAATTCCTTTTCTCTCTACTTCCATGTCATCAGTAGAGATGATGCATGCCATAGGAACAGCACAGCTGCCAAAATAACATTTGCCTTGAACTTATTCAGTGTTTATTATCTCATTATACTTCACATAATGTTTCTTGAAATTCAATAACATAAAATATTTATTAATTACCTACCCTATGTTTAATTGCATGCTAAGCAGAGAATAGAAGAATAAAGAGCAAATAAAAGATACTGTCTCAAATCACGATTAGAACACAAGAGTGCTAATCGCTTTGGGGGAAAACTCAATACTCAGTGTTGAAATTGGTAGATAAAACTTTAAAGCAAAACAATCTATTTGCATAGCTTCAAGCATCTCCCCCATAATATTTATTTACTAATGGCTGTGATGACTTCAATATATGTCCACAGATTCTCTTTCTTTGGGAAAAGTAACACAAA